ATTACACATGTACAAATAGAAATCATTTAGGAGGTCACACCAGCACACAGAATTACACATGTACAAATAGAAATCATTTAGGAGGTCACACCAGCACACAGAATTACACATGTACAAATAGAAATCATTTAGGAGGTCACACCAGCCGAGTTAAAATGCGGGAGATAAAATCAGTAAATTGGTATTAGTCTGGTCATCAGACATCACATTCACAAGCAGACATTCAAGTCAAGAAGTCTGATGGCCATGATCAAGAAACGGATATGAGAATGAAGAGAGAAACAAAGACAATCGTTTCTGTCGTAATTTAACAAGTTTCGTTGAGAGAAAACAAAAACCCTGCCTCTATCATGATAAAACAAAAGTCTGTGCGCAATTAGAAAAAAATACAAAAATAAATGTTTCTATCGTAACATAACAAATGTCTGCTATATGCGTTGAGAGAAAACAAAAACAAATACCTCTATCATAATAAAACAAGTCTGTACAATTACAAAAAAAAAAAGTTTCTAGTGTAACATAACAAAGGTCTGCTATATGCATTGAGAGAAAACAAAAACAAATGTTTCTGTCACAATACAAGAGTCTCATGCATGCGTTCGACTTAAAGATGCAGACGACACACGCGTGAATCGAGCGATCGGTGAATCTCGGCCCACCTGCTGTGCGTACAGCTCTGCCATCGCCAGCTTGCTCTGCAGATCCTGCGTCGTGTACTCCAACTTCTGGCAGTCGAGAACCTTTGACTTCATCTTACTCTTCAGCTCCGAGAGCTGCTGCTTAATCTCCTCCTTCTCCGTCCTGAAACGATGACGACGCCGGATTAACAACAGTTCCCCCCTGCTACAAGCCCATGTGAGTTAAAGTTAAATCCTTCCCGCGCCTATGTGGCGCGTAGGGCGGTGCCTATCTCCGTTTCAGTAACCCTGAGGCCCCGCAGCTGCTTTCACAGTAAATGCTACAGTAGGGGGTTAGTCCACTGGTAGCACTGCGAATTAACTTGCCACACTCTATCTCTATTTGCTGATTGCTAAGCAGAGAAGACGTGTGTACCATTTTTCAAGTCTTTGGTATGACCCGGTCGGGAGTTGAACCCCTGACCTTCCACATGCGAGGCGAGCACTCTACCATTGAGCCATCGCTGCGGTTCAACGCCGCCGATGTGACCTGACGTCGTATACCTGACATACAGCATGTTGTGCAGCCAGATGCTGCGATTAAAGGAATAGTAGGTCCATCGATTATGCAACGTTGACGAATGCTAGAATAACTGGCACCTTGTGTAGTTAATAAGTACATTACCTTATAGCCAAACGCGTATTAGTTTGTCCAATATCACTGCTGGTTACTAAGAAATGTCTAATTGAAATCCGTAAATTTTGTAATCTGGCGCCAACGCTAAATTGCTTGCCAACCAAATAAGCCTCGATTTCGGTTCGGTGACGTCACATGTTGCTACAGGATGTTGAGCAGCGAATTGTTTGTCCCGGGTAAATTGTTTGCCTAGTGACGGCAGTTGTAATCATTATCGAGGCACAAGTAAATACCCTTGGTTGCTAATGAACTGGTACCCACATGTCTTCAATTTCGGACACAGGTGTATTCGTTTGACCAATATACGTAAATACGCGTAGTGCCGTCTGCTTCCCATGTTTAGTCTGTGGCCGTGGTTAGTTCGCGATCCCCACAGGCACATAGTGTTGGCCCCCAACATGCACAGCCTACTTCATTATCACGAGCGTCTACTATCAGGCATTGTACTATCAGGATGGTACTATCACTAGCGTGCCAGCTGAGCGGCAGCGTGCCAGCAGCAAGAGCTTGCAATAGCTGGAGATGATCTCCCAGTGTGCAGAGATACTGCCTGAACGTAATAAACACGGACGCTCGTGATAAGGTAAAATGACAAGGTAAGGATATAACGTTTTATCGGGGCTGTCCGTTTATAGTCCGTGGGTGTCCGTCAGTTTTCGTTCGTGTGTTCTGCACCATTTACGTGTTTCCCATTTCATAGTGTAATGAACTTGCTGTACGCAGGTTCGTACGATTCGTCAAATTGGGTTCTAATATCCTTTTCACATATTATATGTTGCTTGTAATCTCAAGATCTTCGTATATTCATTTATTCCCAAGAGTAAAACCATAACGTACGGAATGCGCACTCGGACCACAAGGATCGAAATCACTGACGGCCGAGCATACGTGCGAAAATGTCCGGTGCACTATAATCTGTATGACACCGCTTCGCCGGTTACGGCCGGTCATAGCCGGTATACCGGGTTGAAACTGTCAACAACGGATTTATTTGACCGCGGATTTCAATTGGACATTTCTTAGTAACCAGCAGTGATATTGGACAAACTAATACGTGTTTGGCTATAAGGTAATGTACTTATTAACTACACAAGGTGCCAGTTACTGTAGCATTCGTCAACTTTGCATAATCGATGGACCTACTATTCCTTTAAACATCACACTGGTTAGGTACCTACCCCAACCTAGAAGCATCCTGTTTCAACCTGTCCAGCTCCCGCGAATATTCTTTGCTGGTCTGAAAGGGAACAGAGATGGATTAGGGAATTGCGCAGGTAGAAGCAAGCTGAATTGTTTCTTTGATCGCATAGGATCTATTTTTACCCATATAAAATCATTGCGTATAATTCACTTTCATTCGTTTTAAATGGCACCACACTAATGCACGCACGCACGCACGCACGTACGCACACACGCCCTAATATGCTTTTAATCACTGTACTCATATTAAGGCCACACTGTTTCTGGGCAGTTAATATTCTGTGATAACCTTATTAACTAAAGCTTCATAGACAAAATAATGCTACGCAATGCTCTACCATCACCATGAGTGCAATTCACCTTTGAACATTACCCAAGAATGCACTACTATTTTCTACTGCTAGCTCTGTGCAAGTGTTTACAGTGTCTCCATGAAGAAGGCACCTTCACACAGCCACACCAGCCGGGATCGCACCATACCTTCTCGTACTGCTTCTCAGTTGTGTTCGAGCTACTCAGCTGACGCTCTAACTCGGCTACTCGCTGCCGTGAGGCCTTTAGCCGGCCCATGATCTCATCCACCTCACCTGCAAACACAGATGCCATCGTGTCAGTACATCACACATCCCTCACGTGTACACATCATCTGTCATCGTGATCGTCACTGTCATCGTCACCATCGTCATCATCATCATCGTCGTCGTAATTGTCGTCGTCATACATCGCAGATTAGCTCTGATATGCTATGCTCAGTTACTCATTATCAACACCTACGATATCTGCAATCTCATCGATCTAGTACTAAAACTATGTTTATAGAAATATGAAACCAATTATTGTCATAAAAGGGCAGTAACACAATATAATGCCGGTTAGTCATTTGATCCATCGCTTCTGGAAACATGTTTACAGAAATACAAAACGATTGTTCTGATACAAGTGTGGTAACGTAGTACATTGCTTGTATTACATTACAGCACAATGAAGACCACCTGAAAGCAGCACTGCTAACTTTCAATTAATGTAGGCAATATAAACCAAGCCGATTGTTTGCTGCAGCCCCTGCGCACCTACATGTTATTTCAGTCACTTCACACAAGTTTAGAAAGCAGGACTGAAACCATATGAGAAGATAATATGCCCTTTGACCTTACCACTAAGATGTACACACATCTGTAGCAGTTGGTAGCCAGTCAGAGCCACCACACCTTAGTAACCTTAAAATATTTATGCACGCTAATACGAAAGTCATTTAATATTATTCTACTGTGCATCTGGAGTACCTGCTATGCCTGTTTAACTTACCCACTTTTTGCTTGCCCAGTGTTTGACATTGTGTTAAGGCAGACTGCAGTTCTGTTTTCTCTGCCACTAATATCCCTATCGTCTGAATGTGAACCTGCAAGATTGAGCACCATCATAGTTTATCTGAATGTTTATCATATCAACTAGTTTAACCTCTCTACTATTTTTACTATCACACAGTAATCACGTGTGCACATGTATTTCATTATCATACATGGATTGTGTGGCCTAACATGGCACAAGCTTATACATATCAGCATAACAATTAAATCAGTACTTGTAGTTGCTCCCTTAGAGAAGCCAAACTCTTCCTCTTTGAAACCTCTGCATCTTCACTGCCTTGTTCCTTCTCCTCCTGAATGACCACGTTCTTGTGTTTCTGAAGAATATTCCGCAAGTGAAAGTAGCAATAGAGCACTTAAATGGTCACTTGCATCACCTTTTCAAGTTAATAATATGCAATTATATGCAATTATACGCATTTACACTCTTTCGAAATACCAATCTCTGATCAGTGTAGTACCAGTTCTCGTATATGTAGCTGTAGTTCTTCATTTGCTTGTCTATGCTTTTCCAGCAATGCTGCCAGCTCTCTGTTGCGCGTCTGACATAAATAGCAAAAAAACATGGATAATAACGTGAATGGGATGGATTTGGTCATTTATGACGACAACTGTTGCCAGTGAAAGCTATACTAGTTTATTTTGCCTTTACTTAAATAAAAGGAATCACACAATCCTATGAAATTACTAAATATCAGCAGTGCACCTGAATAAAGAAGCATGATTCAAAGGTAAATTGAAGTGACTCACGCACCATCTCTCTGTAATACTAGTAGTGTTATGGGCAAATGCGACGATCTACTCAGTTACCTGTAGGTTGGAAAACCTAGAAGTTTTTGGCAAGACTTGGTATGACTAACTCAATTACATGTAGTTTGGAAATACTAGGGATTCTATGGCAGAATGCTGAGACTTATTTAGTTACCTGTAGTTCAGAAAGACTAGGATTATCTGGCAGGTCGCCATTTTGAACATCAGTGTCAGACATGAGACCATTCAGCTGCAGGGACAGCTGCAGTAAGCTCTCCGTTGACGCAGTCGTTCTAAACATCAATATAAAGCCACATCAGCATCCACAAAATACTATACAAGCAGAGGCAACAGCAGCAGCAATAACTAGTACTACCCAGCCTATGGTGAGGAACCAAATTCACCTGCGAGAACATATGCTGATATATATATAATATATATATACATACATATACATACATACATAATATATATATATATATATATATATATATGAGCGCATGAAAATTAAAGATTCAAAGTAAATATCTGCTGGAGAAAAACTCTGACATCTCAACAGTTGGAATCACTAATGATCTGTACCTTCCATCAGTCATGAATGTGTCAGCTGGCTGGTAGACTCCCCGTGCCTGGGCATTTTGCCCGTTACTGGAGACATCCTCTGGTTTTGGTCCCGTCTGAAAATTAAATGGGAGGCTTTCTTAAATATTCATACCAAACATAGGCGATGGCTGATATATATTTATGGGCAAGTACACGTGATTGACAACGGCTTCTACAAAAGTCAAAATTACTAGCTGTGCCCTTTCTTCTAGTGCATAAAAGCCAGGCCCACGTGCTACACATAATAATAGATAATAACACGAACGAAAAATCTATAGCTATTAGCCAATAAGCTAGCAAATGTTACTTAAAGTGTCTACGTCACGAATCTCCAGAAATTATTTAAAAAAATATAGTTGAAACCTTATTTTTGTAATTTTTTTGCATCAAAAGTTAGTACTAACGTTACTAAATATATCCTCAAACTCTCACCTGATAAAAATGTTTTTACGTTGGTTAAATTTGCAAAAATCTTGACGATTTGAATTAGTGTTGTCTAACACTATTTACATATTACTGGCGTCTCTCTGTTGCTGTACTGGTTGCTGCGGTTGATGTCATCGTGATTTGTGTATGGTGCACAAAGTGGTGCCCAAACAGTTTCTGTTTTGATTTGTGTTGGCTATATAGAATATACAATATAGGAAAAATATATAATATATGTTCATGTGTATTATGTTTGAAAAATTATTATTAAAACTGCGAAATGTTATTTGTGTTTTTTTAAATTTCTGCCAACAAAAATGTTTGTGACATCCCCTTCAGGATAGATCAGAGGTTAGATCAACTAAACGATAAACAATGGTGGGCAGACCAGTGCATCGGAAAGAAAACGAAAGAGAAAAAAGCAGAAAGAAGATTATATGAGAAATTCCCGCTTAAGTTTACAAGGAATTTCCATGGCTGCCACAAGAATTTTGCCAATGCCTCGTTTACCGCAAATGTTCGCTATATCGGCTAGCTGCGTCTGGGCGCCACGCAAGAATTTTCGAATTCATGGCGGTTGTTGTTGTATCGAGCGTTTGGTTACATCGAATGCACCGGCAAATTAGGGAGTATAAAGAAGGTATATAAGCATGAAAAGTAAACAGAACCGCTAATTGTATTTTCATACATTTTATTTTGTACAAATAACACACAAATATACTACTTGCTGGTGCTCGAAATTCGTGACGTAGACAGTTTAAAGATTGGTGCAAAGCTCTTCAGCTGGTACTATGTACTCACATCTGCTATCTTCGGTTTCTTGTTAAGAGCTGGGGAAGCTGATCTTCCGGTTTTCTTAAACTGTTTCAACTGAAAACATGTGAGAGTCAATGCATGAAGTCGTACATTCTAGTATAACGATCAGCAAGATATCACCGATCGTTGTTGTTGATATCAACGACCATTGCTTGTTTTGCACCAATGTTGTTGGCCTTTGCAATGTCAGAATTCTATGCAAATACCAATCATTCACTAAAAGAGACTTGATGATCTGATATCTTGTCGTACAGTAAGGACATTTCGGGGAAATTGGGCACCTTACGTTGTTGGTGTAAAACAATGGGACTGACATTTTTCATATGTACTAAAAACTACTTGTGAATGTGTGCTCTCCACCTTACATGTGTATGTCAACAATTCAATATTTAGTTTAGCAAATATTGTACATGTGCAACCCCTAACATTTTTTAGACAATATTCTTAACTCTGACTGCATCCAATAGATATCAGTATGATTATCAAATGCACAACTAGTTTCAGAAGAGAATCAAAAATGTCAGCGTCACATATGAATTCTATGTTGCTAGCTTGATGTATATTGGACAACCAGAAACCGCTCACAGCATACGGCTTAAAAGATACTGACGTGGTGTTAGTAAAGCGCCAGCAGGCTGGTGCAGGCAATGATCTGGTTTGGTGACTGTGACTGTGAGTGCGAGTGTTAGTTATCATGACGAATTCGCTACTTACCTCATCAAAGGCCCGTCACTACTCACTGTCACTGGCATGATAGGTCATATTACAGTAACAGTATCTAAAATTCTGTGTTACACAATATAAGTACTGTATGAGGCATATTGATTGATTCAGTGATTGTAAAAAAATATAGCATTGAATAAAAATGGTATATTGTTAAAAAACCGGTCCAAGCATACATTGCTGACCCACATGGAGACACACACACACACACACACACATATATATATATATATGACATATTGACATGACATAGAATCTGGGGCAACAATATGCATGAGCCAAAACAACTATTATTGGGGGGAACGGCGTCGGCGTAACGTTGCAACCACAGGCACTTGAAGCGTTTCAATAAAATAAAATGCTAACTAAATACGAAATCTATTTACTACCAAATTCTTAATGTTTCTATACTCTCTCCAAATTCTTAATGTTTCTATACTCTCTTTCACATATTATTGCCGACAGTTTCCTGTCAATTCCGTCCAAATCCTACGTGCAACCATATACGCTGCCGGCGCCATTGCTCTCGCGGCTCCACTGTTGCACGCTTACACTAATATATATAGCAGGTAGGTAAGTGGGATCGCAAAATTCGATCGACGCTCACTGGATTTCACACTTTCACAGCACGAATACACATCCAACAGTTTCCATCTTTGTTTCTATGTCAGGAACAGTGCCACAACACGAACGCGAGAATTTCGTCAGTCTTTGTGTGATTTCGCGTGACACAGCTCGGTTACAAACAGTTACAAACAAAGACAGTATGTTTTTATAACAAGTGAACACTGTTCTTGACATAGAAACAAAGATGGCAGCTGTTGGATGTGTATTTGTGCTGTGAAAGTGTGAAATCCTGCGAGTGTCGAGCGAATTTTGCGATCTCGCTTTCCTACCTGCTATATATATTAATTAGTGTAAGCGTGCAACAGTGGAGCCGCGAGAGCAATGGCGCGGGCAGCGTATATGGTTGCACGTAGGATTTGGACGGAATTGACAGGAAACTGTCGGCAATAATAGGTGAAAGAGAGTATAGAAACATTAAGAATTTGGTAGTAAATAGATTTCGTATTTAGTTAGCATTATATTTTATTGAAACGCTTCAAGTGGCTGTGCTGTGGCTGTGGTTGCAACCACAGGCACTTGGAACGTCTCAATAAAAAAAAATAATGGTAAATAAACACGAAATGTACCAAAGTCTTAACTTAATGTTTCTCTACTCTATTTCGCCTATAATCACCTGTAAATGCCGGTCAAATGCTCATCTGCAACACACAATTACACCGAACGCCCGCCCGCGCTGTGCTGCGTGCACAAACAACATGAATAAGAGAGCAGGTAGGAAAGCGGGATTGAAAAATTCGTTCAACGCTCGCTTCATTTCACAATTCACACATCACAGCTCGAATACACATCCTACAGCTTCCATCTTGGTATCTATGCGTACATAAATGTTCACTTGCTCGAATTATAACTCTGGCCTTTGTTCTTGGGTGTTGCTATCCCCCGGGCGTGGAGGGAAGGTCACGTGATACAGTTGACGTATACTTCAAAATCATTAATCATCGCGTAACGCTAACTGCAACACCTCCAACGCTAACCATAACACTAAATATATATATCTCGGAGCACTATATATAGGTATTGTGATCCACAAAAATTAATCTATGGTGTGGGGACAGATATCATGATGCAAAAACCTTAACCCTAACCCTAACCCTATCCCTAACTCTAACCCTAATCCTAACACTATCCTAACACTAGTGCTGCCACGTTGCGGTCACCTCCCTCCACGCCTGGGGGATAGCATTACCCTTTGTTCTTACCTACTCCCGCCAGAGATATCTCGTGAAATCCTCCAGGAAATGTTCTCTCCGTGAATATGTAGAGGACGAGATGTCTGTTTATACACGAGTAATGGGGTGCATTGCATGCCGGGATGAGCTGCTGCCGGCCTCCGAAATCCATTTCGAGGCCCGCCAATCCAAGCACAATGTGCGCGGGCATGACGTCACGTACACACGACTACAGCGATCGATCGAAAGTAGTGCCGTTAGGGATTTTCGGATGATAACGTCCTCTTTACATTTTCACGGAGAGAACATTTCCTGCAGGATTTCACGAGATATCTCTGGCGGGAGTAGGTAAGAACAAAGGCCAGAGTTATAATTCGAACAAGTGAACATTTATGTACACATAGATACCAAGATGGAATCGAGCTGTGTGGTGTGAAATTAAGCGAGCGTCGAACGAATTTTTCAATCCCGCTTTACTACCTGCTCTCTTATTCATGTTGTTTGTGCAAGCAGCACAGCGCGGGCAGGCGTTCGGTGTAATTGTGTGTTGCAGATGAGCATTTGACCGGCATTTACAGGTGATTATAGGCGAAATAGAGTAGAGAAACATTAAGACTTTGGTACATTTCGTGTTTATTTACCTTTTTTTTTTATTGAGACGTTCCAAGTGCGTGTGCCGGCTGTGGTTGCAACCGGCCGTACGGTCCAACACAACTAACTACACACACTGCATACAACACCCACGGTTGTTACAACATACAATCACCATGGTACAACTACAGTATGAGTGTAGTGGGTTATGCTCTACCCTCATCGACAAAGTACATCACGCATTAGCTTTAAATTGCGTCTAAATTAAGAAGCTACCTTCTTCTTCGCTGCTGCTAGCTTCATCTCCCTACTAGCGTCCGCCATACTTGTTTAGGGACGTGGACATGTACCACCGCCATCTAGTGGTTAGAAAACAAATAACTAGCATCTGCATGTAGCCTGAGGCAGCTGCGAAATGTCACAACAATGGTGAATACAACGGGGTCATGCGGGGCGTTGCCATACGAAGCACAAGTTGGTTGCACTAGTAGTTTTTATAAAAAATTTTCGATCTAATTACTTATCAATGTTTTCTACAATACTTTACTAGGCCTCAAATCTTCACAGACTCCACTACAGGAGAATGAAATCCGTCTGTGTTCGTGCACTCTCGTTATCTGCTAAACAAAACATTATGATAGATTAATATTTATTTATGTAACGATTACATATTACCAATCAATTTGATATGAAGAAATGCAAATCCAAAAATTGTTCTTATTCAAATTACGCCACTCCTACTTACAATTAAGGTGCACAACTTTCCCGATTTTCACTAAGATCTATGTACGGGCATGCCCAGTATTTTCCAATAGAATCAAATATTTGGTTGCTATAACATTTGATTGAACAAGGACAAGTAATAAGTTGAGATTACAGACCGCAAGCACACATGCACCCACGAGTAGCCACAAGTAGAAACTATGACCCCCTACGCCTGCAAACATCGATAGTCAATTACGATCCCGTACGTTGGGGTCAATAATTATTTCACAGTAGAACATTGATAGCGCCACAGAACAGTTTCTTTATAAAAAAAACCATCAACTGCGAAAGGACGTACGTCGCAATACCGTCACGACAGCCGCATAGTATTGAAGGCCATTACCGCCAAAACCTACCTATTTTAAGCGCGATTGAATTCCAGCCAATCAGAACAGTGGTTTTTAATCGCGATTAAAATAGATTTTAAGCGCGATTAAAATAGGTAGGTTTTTGTGTGTGTGTGTGGTGGTGTGTGTGTGTGTGTGTGTGTGTGTGTGTNTTATGTTATGTTATGTTATGTTCGTAGCACTCGATCATCTGAACGTGATCATTTCTTTCGACACGTGCCACCTTCACTGGCTCCCTTCCACATACCTGAAATAGTGTGTTAAGCATCGATTGACGTTTGGTGGACGAAAAATAACATTAAACGTGCTGGCCGCCATTGCTCTTGTTATGATTTCAGGACGAGATTATAGGTGGCAGCACTAACAAAATCGTTATCGGCGGGATACGAAAACGAGGCTACTGACGGATACGCCATTTTGTTTTTATTTGAGATTTATAACGTCGAGAAAAATAATACAATTTTAGTTAGAAGACTGAAGTTACGAGTCTCCATTTGTGATCTTCGCGTGAACGTTAAGATGTCGATTTCGGGAGCAAATACGATTCCGTTGCGGAAGTTGAATCCGATTCTGACGGGTGAAAGAACGTTTAGCGGACCGTCACTTTTACGGCCCAGCATGTCCGCTTCTCGACCCACTGCTATGCAAGCTATGCAAATGGTGGGACCGCGACCGAACGCGATGCAAATGGTGGGACCGCGACCGAACGCGATGCAAATGGTTGGACCGCGACCGAACGCGATGCAAATGGTGGGACCGCGACCGAACGCGATGCAAATGTTGGGACCGCGACCGAACGCGATGATGGTCGGACCGCGTCCCAACATGGTGCAGCCACAGCAGATGTTGATGGCTCCGCAGCTTCCACCGATGCCGGTCATGGCGCAGAAGCACGATGTCCAAGAGACGTTGAATGCGATTCAACACCATGGTACCCCGCTGCAGAGGAAACGTGAGGTCGAAGACCCATCGTGTAAGCATTGAGATTGTTAAGACACAAGGCCCAGTCCTAGTTAAGGACTGCGGCTTATTACGGCACATTTGCGAAAATGATAGGGTGGCAGACCTTGATGACCTTCACGTCCTTTGCCATTACCCCCGTGCAGTTCATCTGTCAAATCATGTATTGCGACCTGCCATTCTCATATCTTCCATTGTACACTGTATGTATGTAGGTACTGTCTTATGCACAAATAAACATCTTGATGGTTGGGATCCAAAACTAGGGTCGAGCAAGATCCACTGCAGCATCAGCGACCAACCAAAACATCCAGTGTAAAAGTTATTTTATTTATTATTTGCATGTGAAACTGGTTCCAGCCGACCGAAAGAAGAAGCGAAGAAGCCGTTGGGGTGGAGACGACAAGGATAAGGCATTTATACCAGGCATGCCTACCATCCTGCCGCCCGACATTAAACCAGAACAGGAAAAAGCATATCTATGTAAGAATAGAGTTACGTCGTGTAGTTAGTTTACCCCAATCATGTGTCAAGCCCTCTGTCTTTGATTAGTCGAATAAGTCAGCTGAAGAAATAAAGTCCAGAATCTCAGGATGTGACCAACTGGAGAAGGAACAAAGTAAGTGTGTAAGCTAGCGTGAGTCGGGGGAGTTTTTACGGCCGGCAACACTAACAGGCGTCACGTCGAATGGTCCACGAACCGTTCGGATGCACGCTTGTTCCTTTCAGGGCGCTATTAGGTTTTCGTGCGAGTCGTCAGACAATTTTGTTGCCTGTGTGGATGGCTTGTCCGTCTCACTGGCGAAGTCCGGCGGTGAGGGTAAGCATATAGTCGGCTGTGCGAGGCAAATCTTCAGCAGTGGGGAGCTGCAGAATGTCGGAGAAAACATGTCCAGGCTGTGTGTGCGGAGTACGATACAGCAGAGTTGCAATCTGCAACATTTCACGCTGCAATCCTTCAAAATTCTCGCCGCTATTTATTGTTCAGACACGTATGTATGCGCTCTATATTTACGATCTCTCATAGTCTGCGGGACCGTCCGTGCATGATATACCTAACGTGCGCGCTAGGTTGGAAAGGTATGTGTCTTGCTGTGTTTAAAAAAACAAAACGTTTCTGTCACTCGTCTAACAATTGTGAGCTTGCGTGACCTTTGTATTTGCGCATGATATTTCACACTGTAAATATGTATTGTTGTGGGTAATTTACCTAAAACATTTTGTCATTATGAGATACATTTATTGCAGACAGGTATTTGTATAATATTCAGTATCTAATAAATAATTTTTGTTTGTAATCATTCCTTTTTTCTAATGACCACTTTTAATGAACAGGTCAACTAAGAGCGTTTATAGTAATGCATTGTTTTCTGGTACAGAAACACGTAAATGAGTACGTTGGGGGTGGGGTACAGTGATCGTTACGCCGATACTAGGTTTTCACATGCGTCGTCGCCCTTGTCTCCGCCTATTTGTTCGCTGCATGATTTGCTTTCTAATTTTTCGCCGCCTCCACCTTAACTTTTGCTTTTTCAATAATAAAGCATCAGTTCCTGCGTCGGCGATACATCGTGGCTGGGCCGGCACACGAGGTGCGAGAGCGAGAGCGAGCATGTGAAAGCCTATGGCGAATATTGATGAGCTGTGCTCTAATCTAGGGGTTTCTCCCTGTCTTTTTCTAACCCATTCACTTCTAGTGCAACTACAGATCGAAGAGATCACGCGTCGACTGCGATCAGGAGACCTGGGCATCAGTCCCAACCCGGAAGACAGGTTTGGAAAACAGCGCTGGCTTGTGCTGCATCACGGGTCAGACTTCGATCGCCCGTGATCGAACGGCAGAGATACTCTTTATTCATTCGGAGAGTCACGTGTAGTTGTGTATATTGCCGGAACTGGGTAGGGGGAGGGGCGTGTTGAGAGTGTAAGGGCAGATATCTATAACCTGTTGTCTAAATGTGTTTCCGTAGATGGGTCATAACGTGCAATCCGTTTCTCTAGTTTTGCCAGGATGGTATTCAACGCAATCCTCTTTCTGTACTTTCACTTCCTGTGTTCTCTACTATGCTAACTTGGTTTTAGAATCGCTGTGCACGACGCGTGCTTAGCACGTGTGCTTTGGCTATCACAAATGTCACAGTGGTCTTAAAAGCGTAGAAGTAGAAATATTAACGATGCCATACGTGAAGTCGGTGGGTAAGGAGATGAGGTATCTACTATACCGTTTGCATCACTCTTTATCGTAATCTGTATAGCTTACTGCTTGTGTGTGCATAGGCTTTGGTTGTAAACTTGTAGAACCTAATGCTATAAATATGCACATAGGACGCACTGAGCCGATAGTATTTGCACCGCCGCCTCACAAATTTTTGTCACACGTGTGCGTTTGTGTGTGCATTTTGAGCGGTTGTAGTTGATATCCTGGCAAAACCAGATTCACGAGTAATTGTAAGCACGTGTGGGTAGTGGATGGGCGGTTCACTAGGCCATGTACGCGGCGCACAGGTCTGCTGGCTCAGTGGCTGTGGAGACCTACAAACCTTTGTCGATGTAGAATGATCATTTCCCTCGCTGACCTAGAACATACTAATGAATTGCTGCGACTGCAAAACCCTTCATATAGTTGACGGGACGCGCACAGCGTCTAACGTATCGTGTCCTCTCCCGCCTCGTGAGAAATGTTTGAAGACAGGTTTCTACTGTCTTGTCTTAGACTTAACAGACATTTCTTGCAGGTCTGTTTTTAATCACTCAATGTTTCATGCACAGGCGCCCCCTGTCTGCCGTAATCCCTGTTAACCTCGCTACTTTTTTTGTCACAACGATATATACGGCAATGAGTTTCATTGTGCTCGGGAGGTAGTGCCTCAAATAACCACACTCGGGTCTAATGGCATTTATCAGCAAAGTGATGTTTAGGTCTACTCTTTCAAGAACATCTGAGGTGATGTCCGCACCGCTAGTTGTACGTGTGGTAATCTATTCGATGCTTTATTTATCTTGTCCACCGCTAATAATCTAACCGTTTAATCGGCGAACGCGTCCCTGTCGATTTTTTGCAGTCCCGAGTACGTGTGCAGGTGTAGAGAGAGTAATTCAGTGGCCCTCTGGAAGCGGTGGTAACCTGTGTTTGGATTTAGACGTTAAACTAGGTTCTTATATTGCTAGGTCGTGAATGTAACGGCCCGCTTTTGTTGCAGGGCAATTCTGGCATTTCTCTATCAACCACAGGTGTCGTGGTCCGTCTGCTGTGACGGGCCCGCACATGTATCTGCATACGAGTCTTCTTGTATAATGTTACCCAAATTGATCATTATCGCAATAGTAATTAGTAAAGACGACCTCGGTACAGGTGGTGTGTGCAATGGAGAGTCAGGTTTCTGTTGGTGTTTGCCGGAAGTAATGTTGGCATTGGTCATAGTAGACAGGAGGATGATCGTGATGATGACGATGACGACCCGAGCGGGAATGATATGAGTTGACGAGCGGTGATGATATATTGCCGACGAAGGGACGATGATGATTGCGACATGGGTGATAATGATGATTGCCGACGAGGTGATGATGATATGCCGACGACGTGATGGGATGATGTTGACGACGGTGATTCATGATGATGCTGACGGAGTGTATGATGACGATGACGACGAGGTGAATATGATGATGCGATGAGAGTGATGATGATGATGATGATGATGCCGACGAGGTGCATGATGATTGAAAACTAATGATGTTTTCACAGTTTGCTGTGAGCTCCGAATGCGGCAGCCCGACACTGAGTCTTGCGTTCGGACACACTCGCCACTATCACGTGTCGCTGTGCGTAACATACACCCGCCGCCCCGTTTTGCCTTTGCAGGAGCGAATTCAAACGAGAATGGTAGCTTTAGTCCGACAGGAGACGTGTCATATACACCAAAGCATCACGGTTTCAAGTGATGATGATAGTGACGATGATGCTGATAATGAATGATAATAATGATAATAGGAATGGCCTGATTAATATCTGCGCAGGATGCATTGTGTGCATCACAGCACATCTTGTTCACGAGCGCAGGTATTGAGAGGTGTTTGAATGGGAGAGGGGTACTTGGAGGAAGGAAGGAAGCATGGAACGCAGGATGCCCACCACAGTTCACCAGCCACTCGCTTGTTCACCCTAACGTCTAGCTCCGCCCTTAAAACAGTTCTGTAATGCAAACGCCGCCTGTTTCGATCCGTGATGGTGATCAATCTACCGTATATGATCGCGCGCATAATAACGCGGGCCCTATAAGCCGCACCTCAATTTGAATCGCGGTAACCAAGTATTGCCTAGTATATTCCCGTCACGTATATGGCACGTATAAACCGCAGAGCAAATACAGGGTTGAAATCGAGGCCAAATTTGCAGTATTACGCGAGTATATATTGAAGCCAAATTCTACTCTTTCGCAATCGTTACTCACCCATCCATCCAGAATACGTTGTGTTACTGGATATATGCCGCGTGTTGTCGTTGTCTACCTCGTGCGCGTGCGTGTCCCCCTCACATTCGTTAAGCCGTAAACTGTCCGGGCGGATCCTACCCGTCTTCTCTATTAACGTCCTACGCAGATGCAGAAATCTAACTGCGAATTCCTGAGCTGCTGACCTCACTCATCCGTCGTCATGACGACATTTCTGTTGACTTGGTGACCGGTAAGTGGGGGCGAACCACAGCGTGCTCCACGTTTACTTGCGCTGGGTTCGTGCAAAGTGCACGAGCGAAGACGTTTTCGTCCTATCCATTCCGATTCGACGGCGGCCGTAACAAAAACATGCGGCTGGACTCTCGGTCGAATGGATCGGCTGGAAGTTATGCGTTTTGCGGCCGCCGCACTGAAAGCGCAGCGAACAATCGTGTGTGGGCGTTGTTGGTCTCGCGTCGCCCGTCGGCCGTCCCACTCTGCCGGCCGTTCACGCCTGCATGGTAACTACCGCGCCGCACCACGAACGTCGTTTCTCGTTAACGAACCTTCGTTGGCGACAGCTCGTAACATTTGTGACGGCCAGGTGAAAAAAATTACACGCGCGGAGAGCGTGAGCGATTCGCTTTCAAACCTCCGGAAATCGCTCCCGTAAAAAATTTTTACGAGAGCATGTTCCCACGACTTGAAAAATAAGGCTCCCGCTGACAAAAAAAAGAATGTTCCCCCCTGGTGCGCCGCGCGGCTGTTCCGGCGCGAGCGCGAGCGCAAAGCCCTGCGCGTGCGTCGTCTTCTCACCGTCGCCTCCTCTCCCACGTCCATCGCAGGTCGCCTCGCCGGAGCCATCTACAACAATGAGGGCAAGCGACTAAACACGCGGAGTATCGCACCGCGCAAGAAGCGGAGCAGAGAGCGACACACTCTTCTGATTCTGGACGATTCGCGCCTCTACAACCCAGAGGCAAGCCGCCGTCCGACTACAAGTAAGCAAGAGCTGATTTATGCGTGACATAGATCGACGATGCCTGCCTCTGTGCCTGCCTGCACTGTGTGTGTGTGTCGGTATTAATGATGTAATGTAATAATAAAGCTAGTAATTACATTGTGTGGTGATTGTGTTATTTTGCTGGCCCCTCGATCGTTTACGTTTACGTTGTTTGTGTTTACTTGCGCGCAGGCCCCTCGATCGTCCGTATGTTTATGTTGTTTGTGTTTACTCGCACGGAGGCCCCTCGATCATCCGTTTGTTTACGTTGTTTGTGTTACTAGTGATGTCCCGATGATCGATTATATAGTCTCAAATTCGATAATCGATTATGAAAACAAATAATCGATTATCGGAAATACCAAAACAAACAAACAAGGAACTGTACTCACGATGTGTGAATTGATATGACAAGTAGAGCACAAGTCCTGCAGGTGCCGTTGTCAGAAACATCGTAAAGTTAATGCTAATGTTAATGCTATGAGAGTAATCACTGTTAACATGGGTCATGTCAGATTGCTGAGCTGTACTAGTGTACTTATAGACATGGACAAATTGGACAGTGTCTTTGTTTTGGTTTGACACTGTCCCACAGATGTTATCCGTAGATGAGATTCCACTCTACGTATTATTCGTTACATTGTGTTGGAGAGGATATTCCATTGGCAGGACATTAACTCGGCTACACAGCCTACACTATTAGAACACAAACAACTTACTATAATAAAGAACAAGTCTTGATCATGTTTGTTTAAAACTTTTAATGTTTTAATAAAGGCATTAATTTTAAACCATTTCTTTTTAAATTGATTAAATACTGTATAGGAACAGACATTGATATACATACAGCAACCTTCACAGAGTTAATACATGATTATAAAACATGATAATATTGAATGCTATGTATAATTCTAAATACAAAGTAAGATTAAATTAAATCTATGCTGTTATTAACTGATTATCCGATTATAATCGATTATCGATCGGTTAAGGGAAACCGATAATCGATTATGAAATTCCAGCCAATTCCCATCACTAGTGTTTACTCACGCGCAGGCCCCTCAAGCATCTGTTTGTTTATGTTGTTTGTGTTTACTCGTGTGCAGGCCCCTCGATCAATCATTTGTTTACGTTGTTTGTGTTTACTCACGCAGGCCCCTCGATCAATCATTTGTTTATGTTGTTTGTGTTTACTCGTGTGCAGGCCCCTCGATCAATCATTTGTTTACGTTTGTGTTTACTCACGCAGGCCCCTCGATCAATCATTTGTTTATGTTGTTTGTGTTTACTCGTGCGCAGGCTCATCGATCAATCATTTGTTTACGTTGTTTGTGTTTACTCAAGGCCAGGCCCCTCGATCATCCGTTTGTTTACGTTGTTTGTGTTTACTCAAGGCCAGGCCCCTCGATCATCCGTTTGTTTACGTTGTTTGTGTTTACTCGC